CTCCATATACAAGTGAACAAGATTGATCATTCTCCTTTTTTTAACCTGCTTACTGGAACTCCTAGGGATTAATAGGGATATTCCCCTATTCATGAATTCAATATATAGATTTATCAATTTACCCAACCGTCTCCATATCCCGTCCAGTAATGGGCGCCAAACACCCCATCGTCTCGATATCATGTCTGGTATGAGGGTGAATCGTATCTCCCAACCCTTCTGGTATGGGACTTCTCAGCCCCGTCCGACTGAGATAATATCTACAATATGATTTTTTTTATGTACCGGGTCCGTCCACCCTTTTCTAGGGTAACCAATATGCCTTTCATCATCAAATAACCACCAATCGAATACCAATATTTCATTTCATATTCACATATTAATCTAATGACATTTAAGAAAACAATACAATTTCATACCTTAACAATTAAGAAACGTACTCAGGGTCTTTACCTCAAATCAGTCAATAGATAAAAATAACTATTAGACAATCAATGAATAAGAAAGTAATTAAAAGTAATAATTTAAAGCACACGGTCGAACAATAAACAATTTAAGTAATATAAAAAAAATAAATAGGCAACACAGACAAAGTAGGACAATTGTACATTGATCAGTTTCGGCTACACTAGTGACCTGTAATTATTGTTAGAATTTTTTTACTTTTCACAAAATATACGATTATCGATTAAGCCTTAATTTACCATAACAAGGAATAGGGTGAGAGATTCTTACCGAGATCAGTATTTCAAACTGTTGTGTTGCCTACTATACTTTCTAACAGTCTCTGGATTTTCTGAAGTGCAAAAATCAAAATACATGTCACGTACCCAAAAATATCCCAAAAGGCCAAAATCGATGTTTAAAAACCTTTTTCGGCAAATTATAGGGTTTTGGCACAGCGCCGCCGTCGTGCTCTGATGCTGGCTCCACTTTTTATGGTGGTGGTTCACCTCGGTCTAGCCAATTTTGGCTGATTTTAATTGGTTTTACACGTATCCCTGCGAAAAAATATGTTAGGAAGCCTCAATTAGCTGAAAAAATAAAAAAACTGAAACCTACCAGTGAGGGAGTCTCTGGGAGCAGCAGCTTTGCTAGTCCTCCTTCATGGCTGGGGTTCTTCTTTGGCTAACCTGTACTAGAAAGAAACGGTGAACATGGCAGTCAAAGAATTGCATGAGACAAAAAATGGGAAGGGGGTGATTAAAGAGTGTTTTGGGTTTTGGCCGCGGTGGCTCGGTCAGGCTTTGCACGTGATTTCCACCTCACCCACCATCCTTTTTGCTCCAATATGGCAATAGGAAGGCTCATAAGTGAATTTTGAACGAGAAGAGAAAATTTTTACCTTTTTCGGCTTTGATTGGTGGCTACAGTGAAGTGTCGATGGTGGTCAGCTTCCTTCTACTGCAAGGGTTGGTGTGGCTAGGGTTAGGGTTCCCTAGAACGTGATGATTACCTTCCCTGTGTCGATATGGATCATCCGTTCGGGAATAAGTGGTCATCTCCCGTCCGTTGGATCCATCTTATTTGAGAAATGAATCTAGGTGGCATGATTGAGTTTAATATGACAGTTCGATCATGCCTGAAGGAGAAACGTATCTGGGTTATCCGTGGGCGTAGGACTTGATCTGGACCTTCGAATCGCCAGGCACGCTGATTGCCCGCGTGGCCTCCCGCATGACACTGATGTCAGCGTGGTTTGCTATGCGACGTGCTCTGATTTGCTGTAGCTGCTGATTGGGTCGTCCCATGTGGCTGAATATCCTCTTTTTGCGATTTTATCCCACGTCTTTAAGTTTTCTTTTAAAAACACCCCCCTTATTCAAAATTTCATTCATTTTCTCCAAAATTATTTTCAATTTCGTCCATAATTCATTTTTTTCTCAAAAATTTAATAATATTTAAATTAAAATAAAATTAATTAATTATTTATATGTTTTTATAAATGAAAAATTTATCCTGGGTCGATTTTCAAGCCTAGGTATTACAGTGTAGATCTGATAGTATTTGAAATGAGAGATTTTGATGTAATTCTTAAACTGAACTGGTTAATGGTGTATCACGCCACTGTATACTGTTTTCATAAAAAGTTTGTATTCAACATTTCTAATAAAGATTTTTTTTTTACAAATTAATAAAAATTTTAGATGTTATTCACATGTGGTAACTATATTGTTTATCAAATGCCTTTAACTCAACTATTCTTTTTCACGTTAAGCAAACATAAGAAAGAGATTTACATTCAAGATATTCCTGTTGTCTGAGATTTCTCGAACGTATTTTTTGATGAACTACCAGGACTGCCTATAAATCAAGAAGTTGAGTTTGCCATAGACCTTCAACCTAGCACCTAGCCCATCTCGATTACTCCATATCGAATGAGTGGTGTCGAGATGAAAAAACTGAGGAAATAGATCAAAAAGTTGCAAGATAATAGGTTCATCTGACATAACATATCCCCTTGGGGTGCTAGAGTCACGTTCGCAAAGAAAAATGATGGGTCTTTAATGTTGTGTATTGACTAAAAGGGAACTAAACAGGGCCACAATTAAGAACAAGTACCATATCCCCAAGATTGATGATCTTTTTGACCAATTACAGAGTGCTCAGATTTTCTTTAAGATTGATATGCATTCGGGATACCATCAAGTAAAGATCAAGGCAGAGATATCCATAAAACGACCTTCAAAACCTAGTA